TTGGGGGTTTGGGGTTTGGGGTGTGCGATGTATGGTTTAGGGTTTCGGGTGTAGGGTTTATGCAGGGTTGAGGGATTTGAACCCTCCTTAACTCCGCAAGAGCCCACACCCCTCCCCACCCCCCCCCCCCCCCCAACCTTTATGAGCCTACCAAAGGCTGAAGCAGCCTTAGCCTGCTGCGCTAGGGTTTCAGGGTCTTAGGTTTAGCACAGAGCACGCCTTGCCCACCGCTGCCGCGAACTTGATCGGGTCGGTGGTTTCCGGAACCTAGGGTTTAGGGTTTAGGGTTTAGGGTTCAGGGTTTAGGGTTTAGGGTTTAGGGTTCAGGGTTTAGGGTTTAGGGTTTGGGGTTTAGGGTTTAGGGTTTAGGGTTTAGGGTGTAAGGGTTTAGGGGATTGAAATTAGGGCTTTGAGTTTAAGGCTAGGGGCTTAGGGCTTAGGGCTCCTTAAGCGCTGAGGTCTTCGAGCTTTTTGGCCTGGAGGGTCGCAGCTTTAAGGTCTCCACACCCTAAACCCTAAACCCTAAACCCTAGACCTCTGAACCCTCAAGTTGTTGTTTTTGTTCTTCTGGATTGTTTAGGGTTTAGGGTTTACGGTTTAGGGTTTAGGGTTCAGAGTTTAGGGTAGTTTGAAGTGTCAGCAGGAAGGCGTTCCACGCTACCGTCTACTGTCAGGAATGGCTCGGGTCCCTAAACCCTAGACCCTATACCCAAAACCCGAAACCCTAAACCCTAAACCCGAAACCCTAAACCCTGAACCCTGAACCCTAAACCCGAAGCGTTTCCGCTGCCCAGGCGCCGCAGTTCTGACCTCCGACCGCCGCCGGAAGTGCACGTTCCCATCCTCGGTCTCCGGGAGTCCCAAGCTCCCTAATCCCCATAACCCCCCCCAAAGCCCTGAAACCCGACATGATAATTTAGGGTTTAGGGTTTAGGGTTTAGGGCTTAGGGTTTAGGGTTTAGGGTTTCGGATTTAGGGCTTTAGGGTTTAGGGTTTTTGCCTGAGACCCTGAACCTGAAACCCTAAACGCGAAAAACCTACAGTAAATCCCACTAAACCCCTAAAAACCCTAAAACCCTAAAGCCCTGATCCAGAGAAACCCTAAACCCAAGAATTGCAATCCTGCATCCTTGAACCCCAAGCCTCAAGAATACAGGGTTTAGGGTTTAAGGTTTAGGGTTTAGGGTTTAGGATTTAGGGTTTAGGGTTTAGGGTTTAGGGTTTAGGGTTTTGCATTGATTTAATAGGGTTTCGGGCACGTCTCACATCTTGGCTCCTTTTGGGCACCCCTCTATGCACTGAAAGCCCGCCTCGGCATAGTGGCTGGTAAACTCCAGCACTCCGACCAACCTTTAGGGTTTCGGGTTTAGGGTTTAGGGTTTAGGGTTTAGGGTTTAGGGGTCAGGGGCTTAGAAGTGTTTTTGGGGTTTCAGGAAGAAAGTTTGGGGTTCAGGGTTTGGGGTTTAGAGCTTATGGTTCAGGAATCAGGGTAGGGTTTGGGGCTGTTTGGCGTTTATAGGGTGTGTAGGCTGTGGGGGCTGAAGGCCCATAGGGTTTTTAGGGCGTTCTGGGGCTCTTTGGGTGTTTAGAGGACTGCTTAGGCTTTAAGGAGCTAGTTGTTAGGGATGTTTGGGTGGGTTTTTGGGGTTCGGGAGTTTGGGGTGTAGAGGTTAGGCGAAGGTTTGCCTCGGAAGCCGCAAACCGAAAGCACCTGCTTCCAGCAAAGGCAGGTAGGCCTAAACCCTAAACCCTAAACCCTAAACCCTAAACCCTAAACCCTAAACCCTAAACCCTAAACCCTAAACCCTAAACCCTAAACCCTAATCCGCATTCCTATACGGATATCGTTCGATAGCCGCTCTAGACGGTCTGGCGGGCATGCCGACCCGAGCACGCGATCAACTTCTTTATTGGCGCCTGTCACTTTTCTTTGAACTTGAGTTGCTTAATCCCTGTTCCCCTAGGAAGAAAAAAGGATCCTTTTTGTTTATATATAAGAAAGCCCATAACCCAAAAAGTAAAAAGGATCCCTAACACTGATTTAGGTTGGATGAAGTGAACAAATCGAAGCAAGACGGCGGATGAACTCGATTCGTTTCCGATGAGGAGAAGTCAGATCCACACCAGGCAACATCATTCTGGCATCCTGCTCCGGCATCCATGGCGGAAGAAGAAAGTTTCTGGCGTTCTCCTCCTCTTGATTCACTGTGAGGCTGGCCCATAAACCCTTAACCCTAAACCCCAAACCCTAAACCCTTATAAACCTCCCCCTCTCCCCTGCTTTGGCGGCCCGGGGCGGTTTGGTCGAGCAACGCTCGATCTGCTTACTTGCGGACGTCGCTCTTGCTGTTTAGGGTTTAGGGTTTACGGTTTAGGGTTTAGGGTTTTAGGGTTTAGGGTTTAGGGTCTAGGGTTTGGGGTTTGGGGTTTGGGGTTTGGGGATTAGGGTTTGGGGTTTGGGGTTTGGGGTTTAGGGTTTAGGGTTTACGGAACTTTCTTGCCCAAACCAAAAAAAAAACACGCTCTGCTCAAGGTAGCTAGTGCTGGGTGAGATAAGGTTCTTCAACAAAACGCCCCGCCTTTAGATCAGCAAGCAGGGGCTTTTTGGCGGGGTGTTAGGAGGTTGGGGGTTTGGCTTTTGAGGATCTTTGGGGAATTTTTAGCTAGGCTTTTTGGGTTTTTTTTTGAGGAGGGGGGGGGGGGGGGTTGGGGGCTTAGGGTTTAGGGGTCTAAGGCTTAGGGGGTTCAGGGCCTTGGGGGGGTCAAGGGTTCAAAGGGCTTCAGGGGGTTCATGAACCCTGGATTGCGGACTTCTCCAAAGCGAGAACTGTCCCACTGAGATGCTACGAAGCTCCCAAAGACTCCTGATACATTGAGGAATGCTTAAACCCTACACCCTAAACTCTAACCCTAAATCCTATACCGTAAACAAACCCCAAACCCTAAACCCTAAACCCGTAGTGGCGGAGGACTTTGTAGATGGGGTTTAGGGCATTGGGTACAAGTTTAAGGTCTGGGGACTTTATAGATGGGGTATAGGGCTTAGGGCTTAGGGTTTAGGGTTGCTGGTTCGTTCCAACCGTACATCCTAACATAGAATAGGGTCTTGGGGGGGTTATTATAGTATAAGTACAGAGGGCCCACAAGGGAACAAGGGAATAGCATTAGTGAGTATTCCAACCCACTTTAGAGACGTCGCCCTTTGGCCACAACACTTGGGGCAGATCTGGGGCGCGCGACTTTGCTGGCTCGCTCTGGCCTGGCTCGAACAGCGTGCGCCACCTAGACTGTGGTTTGGGGTTTCGGGTTTATAGGGTTTAGGGTGTAGGGTTTTGGGGCTTAGGGCTTGGGGTTTAGGGTTTAGGGTTTACGGTTTAGGGTTTAGGGTTTAGGGTTCAGGGTTCAGGGTTCAGGGCTTAGGGTTTAGGGTTTCGGGCCTGTCATGTCATAACACGGCATGCCTTGACATCCGGGGAGGTGTATACCCCCCAAACATACTCGGAATAGCTTCTGAAATACGTTTTGTAGATATCACCCCTGAATCCTAAACCCCAATACTGACCTTGGAACCCCAGCAAAAATTCTAATTTCAGCTTTTTCTTCGGAATTACAGTACACGAAAATGAAATATTGTTTCCATTAAGTCAACCCGAAACGCTTTTGTTGGAGGGGGAGGGGGGAATTCCTTAGTTGTCCAGTAACCCGGGGGAAACTAAAGGTTAACCTTTGGGACTATAAGGGATTATACTACCCCAAAAAGGTTTAAGGTTAAAGGTTACCTACTCTACTACTAGGATTCACAGAAGGCCACTTTGGGAGTAGAAGGGGATTATACTACCCCAAAAAGGTTTAAGGCTAAAGGTTACCTACTCTACTACTAGGATTCACAGAAGGCCACAGGCTGCAAGGATCCGTACCTAAGACTACAGGCAGCAATGGAAGAGGAGGCAAGGAGTCGTTCAGGGGCGCAGTGATTATTCAAAACCCAATAATTATTCAAAACCCAATAAAAAAATAACCCCGAAGCCCTAACACCCCGACATACCCTGAAAACACTTGAAGCCCTTAAAGCCCTGAAAGCCCCCCCCCCCCCCACCAAAAAAAGCCTAAAAGCCATGAGAAAAAGTCCTGAAAGCCCCCTAAACCCTAAACGCCAAACCCTAAACCCTAAACCCGAAACTAGTTCATGGATGGGATCGCATTAAAAATATAAACGTCTATTCCATTTTGGGTTTAAGTACCCTTAAGAATGTAAAATGTTACCCAACTATGACCAAGTAAACCCTAAACCGCAGAATCTGCTTGGTCCGGGTGGCTGGGAGGTCCAGGTGCCCGACCAGAGACCCCGTGGCCGCGCACGCCGCGCTGCGATGATGATCCTCGATCTGGGCATTATCTCAGTGTAGCTACATGGTTTAGGGTTTAGGGCTTAGGGGTTTAGGGTTTCGGGTTCAGGGCTTAGGGCTTAGGGCTTAGGGCTTAGGGCTTAGGGCTTAGGGCTTAGGGCTTAGGGCTTACTGCGCCGGGCCGATAGTTCGACCCACCAACATCTTGGGGTTCTTGCACCCATACCCCGCCCTCTTCCCCATAGACTCCTGACACAATGGGCTGGGGGCCTCCTCCGGAGCTACTATAGTACTATATTTTCAAAACGGGGTATTAATTTCTCCGCTAGCAGGCGTAGGGAAAACGCTACTTTTCGGCACTCCGCTACTCCGCGGGAGCCTTCACTGTCTGCATGCCATCCAACATGTGCCGTGGGTCGAAACTTTCGGCCCGGGGGTGTATGGCTTAGGGTTTAGGGTTTAGGGTTAGGGTTTAGGGTATGATATTATGGCGATTTCCGAAATTAGGGGTACCTTCTTGGGGTCCTTATCTTAAGGAAATCCTAGACTTGGGGGGTCGTAATTAGGGGTCCCCTATTTTCGTAAACCCCCACATGGCCCCGTAGTCTGGGCCCTTACAAGGGACTAAGATATTATTTAGGGTTTAGGGTTTAGGGTTTAGGGTTTAGGGTTTAGGGTTTAGGGTTCAGGGTTCAGGGTTTAGGGTTCCTTATATAGTAGACATGTTTTTAGGGTTTAGGGCCTAGGGGTTTAGGGTTGGAATGAGGGTAGTTGGCCCTTGAATAGGTTGGCGTAAAAGCCTCTAAAGAGGATCCTCTTGAGGTCAAAACGACAAAAGCATACCTAAACCCTAAACACTAAGCCCTCAACCCTAACCCAAGACCCTAAACCCTAAACCCTAAACCCTAAACCCTAGCCCTAAACCCTAAACCCGCAAACCCTACCTTTCCTTTGTGTTCTGCGTCCTTCCAAGCGGCGTAAGCTCAATGTCACCACCGACCTCCTGACCTTTGCTGCCTCGGACGGAAGTTTAGGGTTCAGGGTTTAGGGTCTAGAGTTTAGGGTTTGGGATTCAGGGTTTAGGTTCAGGGTTTAGAGTTTAGGGTTTAGGGTTCAGGGTTTAGGGTTTGGAGTTTAGGGTTTAGGATTCAGGGCTTAGGTTCAGGGTTTAGGGTTTGGGGTTTAGGGTTCAGGGTTTAGGGTTTAGTCCGCCGACCCTCGCGGCGTGTTGGATGGGAAAAGGAGGTGAAAACCTCCCTCTTCCCCCCCAAAACGCGGGGGGGGCTTTTCCATGGAGAGCCAGGCCACCCACACCGCATAAACTCACGGACGATAGGCGGTTTCGCACAGGACATAGGGGTCCTTTGGGAAAAAACCCACCCTCCCCCACACCCCCCCCCCCCCCCCCCCCCCCCCCCCCCCCCCCCCCCCCCCCCTACCCCCCCAGGATGCCCTCCTTCAAGCTGGCTTCAGCTCCTGTTTGGGTCCTGGTGCTACCCCCTACCCCCCCCCCCAACGTTTCACAGAGGCTCAAGCAAATCAACTTTTGGCATCCTTTGAGCTGACGAGCGCGTTTAAACCTTTCAACTATGCTCCAGCGGGGTCGGCGGCTTGAGCCGGAGGCTCTTAAATGTTTAGAGTTTAGGGTTTAGGATGCAGGGTTTAGGTTTCAGGGTTCAGAGTTTAGGATTCAAGGTTTAGGGTTCAGGGTTTAGGGTTCTGGATTCAGGGTTTAGGTTGAGGGTTCAGAGTTTAGGGTTTGGGGTTTAGGGTTTAGGGTGCAGGGCTTAGGGTTTCGGGTTTAGGGCTTAGGGTTTCAGGCTTAGGGTTTAGGTCTTAAGGCCGAGGGTAGTGAGGACAGAGGGTGTGGAGGGGTTGTGCGGGAAAGGTGGTGGATCGAAAATCGATGGGCCCGTTCTTTGCCACCCTAAACTCTAAGGAAAACAGAGAATCGAGATCCCAAAAAGGGTGCATCATCTAGATCTAGGGCCCACGTTTGCAATGCTTCTGCCGTCGACTTGGGGGTTCATGGGTAGATGCAAGTTCATGGAATTACAAACAGTCCGAAACCCTATATGTAAGACTTAAAGGGTATCAGGGGTTGGGTTCAGGGCTTCACGACTTCGGATCGAAAGCTTAGGGTTTGCGGAAGTCCGGGCATTTAGGCTTCAGGGTTTCTTGGTAACCCAGTAGCCAGATGCTAATAAGGGTACCCTTTTGGGGGGGTCAATTACTTTTTTCAGGGAACCTAGAACCTAAAAAATGGCAAAAGGGTACCACTGGGCTACCAAGGTTAAACCCTAAACCCGAAACCCTCAACCCTCAACCGTGAGCCCTAAACCCTAAACCCTCAACCCTAAACCCTCATGGAGGGCTCCTCTTGCCCTCGAGCCGCTGTAAAGGGTGTAGGCTGCCGCCCCCGTGCTCGTGCCTCCCTGGTCTGCGTAGCGGCCGTCGACGTACCTCCGGCCGGTTTGAGGTTTAGGGGTGTGGGGGTTTGGGGGTTTAGGGTTTAGGGGTTTAGGGGTTTGGGGTTTAGGGTTTAGGGTTTCGGGTTCAGGGTTTAGGGTTTAGGGGTTGGTTTGGGGTTTCGGGTTTAGGCCTTTCAGATTCTTGGTTTCCCCAACCCACCAAAACATCTTTCCGGTGACTATCACATGACCCAAAGCCCTAAACCCCAAACCCTAAACCCTAAACCCTAAACCCTAAACCCTAAACCCTAAACCCTAAACCCCAAACCCGTGGGTCCTTACAGGCTCATTTCGGGGCTTACTGCTCCCAGGGCTGAGGGCAGCGGAAGAGAATGAGCCGGAGTTGTTGACTTCAAAAGCCCTTGGGCCCTAAACATGGGGCCACCTAAGCACGATAGCCCTAAACCCTAAACCCTAAACCCTAAACCCTAAACCCCAAACCCTAAACCCTAAACCCTAAACCCTAAAACCCTAAACCCTAAACCCTGAACATAGGGAACTCTGCGGCTTGGTATTCTGGGCTTTCTGCTGCGTCAGGACTCAAGGCTTAGGGGTTTAGGGATTTAGGGTTTAGGGCTTAGGGTTCAGGGTGAAGCCCTAAGGGTTTAGGGTTTAGGGTTACGGGCTTAGGGCTTCAGGGTTTAGGTTCCAGAGTTTAGGGTTCAGGATTAAGGGTGTAGGGGTACCGGGTTCAGGGTTGAGTGCTCTATGTTTAGGGCTTTATGAAGTCATCTAGGGGTTGTACCTTGGACCCTTGAGGTTGTGCCCTTGGGCTTTGGGGCACCTCTTTAAAGATCCTTAGGGTAGCATAAGGCCCATATGATGGAATGCAATAAGGGGAACCTCTTCGGGGTACAACCTTAGGGGTACGAGTCTTAATTAAAATTTCATTTAATCCCTTGAAAAACCCCCAATTATCAGACCCTAAGGGCTTATGGGGTTTGGGGTTTAGGGTTGAGGGTTGGAGTTCCCTAGGCCCTAAACCCTAAACCTAAACCCTAAACCCTAAACTCTAGACTCAGTCACCAGCTCGCCTTCGCATTTCTGCCTTCAGCGCCTCCTTGAAAGGCTCCGCGATCTCCTCGTCGATGTTGTCCTGGCGGACAGGGTTTTGGGGGCTTTGTGGCCCAAGGCACCCTCCACTACCAAGCCCTCAAAGCCTAAACCTTCCCAAGCCCCAATCCCTAAACCCAGCCGTGAGCCCTAAGCCCTAAGCCCTAAGCCTTAAGCCCAAAACCCTTATCCCTAAGCCCTAAGCCCAAAGCCCTAAGCCCCTAAACCCTAAACCCTAAAACCCTAAACCCTAAACCCTAAACCCTAAACCCTAAACCCTAAACCCTAAACCCTAAACCCTAAACCCTAAACCCTAAACCCAGCCTGCACCGTACCTCCATGGATTCAGGTCCATTCGGAGGGGTTTGGCTTTCGGAGGAATGGGGGACCAGGGTTTCCAGCTGGGGCTGAGGTGTTTGTGGTTTAGGGTTCAGGGTTTAGGGTTTTTAGGGTTTAGGGTTTAAGGTTTAGGGTTTAGGGTTTAGGGTTTAGGGTTCAGGGTTCAGGGTTCGGGTTTCGGGTTTCAGGTACGTCCTGGGCACTCGAATTTGAACCCCTGAACCGAACTGCCGGACAAGCAGCCATCTGGGCCAGGAGGTCATCTGTCTTCTGCTGGGACCACATTCCTGAGATAGCAGATTCGGCTCTGGGGCGTGTGCCCTGCTGTAGGGTTTAGGGTTTAGGGTTTAGGGTTTAGGGTTTATGGTTTAGGGTTTGGGGTTTAGGGTTGAGGGCTTAGGGCTTGCTCCGGGGCTTGTGCCCTGCTGTAGATAAGTCTGCACCCACATTCATCAACCCTAAGCCCTGACCCACTCAGCGCTCTCATCCTCCCACGGCCCCGTGCCAGATGATACCTTCACCATTCAAGCACCCTCTGAAACATACTCAACTGTCCCCGAAATAACCGGTTTTGTTATCTACATTTGCTGTGGGCTAAGACCCTCGATGAAGCACGAACGAACGAACACGACAAGGTAGGCGCCCTTCTTAGTAAGGATTCCGGTGTTAAGGGACTCTTATCCCATCCCTCGAGCAGGCCATCGAACAACCCACAAACAGGATCAAACCCCAAACCCTAAACCGGACGTGTATACCCCACCTCGCGTGCTGCCTGGTGGGAGTCAACCTCCTCCGCCCTACGCCCTGAACCCTACAAGGGGCCTTGAGAAGCTCGGTAGAAAAGGAACTTGGATAGTTTAAGGGGCTGAAATCTCGAGTTTAGGGTTGAGGGTTTGGGGGCTTAAGTTCCTCAACGGGGCTGCTTTTGGGGGAAGTCCGAAGTAGGGGATGCAGGGATCAGGGGGAGACTAAACCCTACTCACACCTAGGTTGGGGGCCTCGACCCCGCAGACCCCTCAGGCGACGCAGCGTCGGGTGCACTCTTGCCGCTCGTGGTCCACCGCGTAGAGCTTGTCAGTCAAGCCATCCTGGCGCGTCGCTCTGAGGTTTAGGGTTTAGGGTTTAGGGTTTAGGGTTTAGGGTTTAGGGTTTAGGGTTTAGGGTTTAGGGTTTAGGGTTTAGGGTTTAGGGTTTAGGGTTTAGGGTTTAGGGTTTAGGGTTTAGGGTTTAAGATTTAGGGTTTTGGGTTTTGGGTTATCACTACACCCTAAACCCTAAACCCTAAATCTAGACTCCCTGCACCCTAAACCCCTAACTCCTACACCCTAAATCCTCAACCCTAAGCCCTAAGCTCTAAACCCCAAATCTTAAGCCCTGAACCCCAAACCCTAAACCTGAACCCGAAGGCAAAAACTGGGGCGTCAGGTGTAGGGTTTAAGCTTAGGGTTCGCAACCTTTGACCGCTTCAACCTTTGAGCCCTCAACTCTGTTTAGGGTTTAGGGTTTAGGGTTTAGGGTTTAGGGTTTAGGGTTTAGGGCTTAGGGCTTAGGGCTTAGGGCTTGGGGCTTGGGGCTTGGGGCTAAACCCTAAGCCCCCATCTCAACCGCGACGTCGGCGATTGCGGATCTGGAGTTTAGGGCCTAAACCCTAAACCCTAAGCCCTAAACCCTAAACCCTAAACCTGACGCTTTTGGCTGCCTGCAGCCGAAAGTACTTCCAGGTTCTGATCTTCTTCGAAGTTGCTATTCAAGGAAACTTATATTATAGGGTTTAGGGTTTAGGGTTACCATATCCAAGAAAACACATGGTTACAGAACTTACTATACACATATACACATGTACATATTCTCAACATGGTATCTGACTTTACATTCTATGCAGAAATCCTGCCAAGGATTTGCGGTGTGAGCTGCTCCCTTTCTTGTGTGGAGGGGTGGTTAGGGTTTCCCGGTTTCCCTTCTACGGACTAGGAGAGGCCTAGTGTGAGTGCTGGTGAGATAACTATCGCAACGCAAACAATAACTATCATCATAAAGGGACATCACAAAGCTAGCGCGCATCACAAGAATGAACAAAGTACGGTTGCAACAACAGAAAATGTGTAGAACAGCCCTGAGAACCATGACGATCATCACGAACCCTAAACCCTAAACCCTAAACCCTAAACCCTAAACCCTAAACCCTAAACCCTAAACCCCGGGTCCTTGTAGGGCACCTGCTGCTGCGCGCGGCTCCCCGCGCGGCCGCCCTCGTGCACCACCAGGAGGTCGCCAGGTTCCTCGGCTTCGTGTTTGGGGTTTGGGGTTTGGGGTTTAGGGTTTAGGGTTTAGGGTTTAGGGTTTAGGGTTTAGGGTTTAGGGTTAGAGTTTAGGGTTTAGGGTTTAGAGTTTAGGGTTTACGGTTTAGGGCTTGGGGCTTGGGGCTTAGGGCTTAGGGCTCAGGGTTTAGGGTTTGGGGCTTAGGGCTTAGGGCTTAGGGCTCAGGGTTTAGGGTTTAGGGTTTGGGGTTTGGGGTTTGGGGTTTGGTTTAGGGTTTAGGGTTTAGGGTTTAGGGTTTAGGGCTTAGGGTTTAGGGTTTGGGGTTTAGGGTTTAGCGTTTAGGGTTTAGGGTCTGCAGGGTTTAAAGGGTTTAGAAATTAGGGTCTAGGGTTTAGAAGGTTTAGAAATTAGGGTTTAGGGTTTATGATTCGGGTTTAGGGTTTAGGCTTAGGGTTAAGGGGGTTTACGGTTTAGAAGGATTAGAAATTAGGGTTTAGAGGGCAAAGAAACAAGGCTTAGAGGGTTTAGAGATTAGGGTTTAGAAATTAGGGTTAGAGGGTTTAGAGGGTTTAGGGTTTAGAGGGTTCAGGGGGTTTATAGGGTTTTGAGGGTTTATCGGGCTTAGACGGGTTATGGGGTTAAGAGGGTTTAGAGGATTTATAGGGCTTCTTGGGTTTATAGGGTTAAAAGGGTTTAGAGGGTTTCTAAGGTTTCGTGGATAAGAAAGTTTACAGGGCTTAGAGCGTTTATGGGGTTTACAGGGTTTGGAGGGTTTATAGGGTTCGATAGGGTTTGTAGGGTTTATGGAGTTTATAGGGTTTTTCAGGGCGCTAAAGGGTTTATAGGGTTTACAGGGTTTAGAGGGTTTGGAGGTTTGGAGGGTGTGTAGGGTTTACAGGCTTTTTTGGGTCAGTGTAGGTTTAGAGGGTTTAGAGGGTTTAGGTGGTAGGGAGTGTTTAGAGGGTTTAGAGGGTTTAGGGTTAGGGTTGACAGCGTCATAGGGTTTATAGGATTTATAGGGTTTAAAGAGGTGCTCGAGAGCCCAACAATCCAGAACCTCCGAATGATCCTTCAAGGAGGGCTCGGAAAACCCACGAAACCCAATACCTTTCGGGTTTAGGGGCTTAAGGTTCATAGGGTTTAGGGTTTAGGGTTTAGGGTTTAGGGTTTAGGGACTAGGGGTTAGGGTTTAGGGTTTAGGGTTTAGGGTTTAGGGTTTAGGGTTTAGGGTTTAGGGTTTAGGGTTTAGGGTTTAGGGTTTAGGGTTTGAGGTTTAGAGATTAGGTTCTAGGCTTTAGTTTTTTCTCACCTCATCGTGCCTCATGTAATAGCAGCTCGGGGAGCCCCCTACTTCGGTTACAAGTCGATTGATAATTGGGGTTATAAGGAAGGACACATGATCCTCCAAGTAGCTTAGGATAACTTAGGGCAGCTTCGTTCGGGTAGCTCAAGGTAGCTTAGGGTAGTTTAGGGGCAGAAGCTTAGGGCAGTTTTGGGCAGCCTGGGGTAACGCAGGGCAGCTAAAAGTAGCTTAGGGCAGCTAAGGGTTCTTAGGATAGCTTAGGGTAGCTTAGGGTAGCCTAGGGCAGCTGAGGGTAGCTTAGGGTACCGTAGGGCAGCTAAGGGTAGCTTAGGGTAGTTACCCTAAACTCTAAACCCTAAACCCTAAACCCTAAACCCTAAACCCTCAAGGCCCTAAACCCTCAAGGCCCTAAACCCTAAAGGCCCTAACCCCTAAGTTGAGTTCGCAGCCCGGCTTCGCCCCCGTCGGTCGGTGGGCGCACGATGAGGAAGTTGCGCTCATTGTGGGCTGCACAGGCGCGCCAGACCAAGTCCTCATCTGGGGCCTCTAGGCCCTGAAATAGGGTTTAGGGTTCAGGGTTTAGGGTTCAGGGTTTAGGGATTAGGGTTTAGGGTTTAGGGTTTAGGGCCTAGGGTGTAGGGTTTAGGTTCTAGGTTCCCTTGGAAAGTAACCAACCCCGAAAAAGGGCACCGTTATTAACATATGGGGTTTCCGAAACTAGGGGTACCTTTCGGGGGTCCTTATAATTTAAGGGGATCCTACTATTGTTTGTTGTGTTTTAAGGGTCCCCTTTTGTCGTAAACCCACATCTAGGTAAGGTCTCTAGGCCCTGACATTTCAAAGGGTGCCTGGGGCGGCCTAAGCTTAACAGCAAGCCCCCCACGGGAACCCGAAAATATAGGGCAAAAGGGCACTCTTTTGGGTAGTGGCTTTTGTGCATCCAACAGGAAGACTAAAGGGGACTCTGGGTTTAGGGTTTCGGGTTGAGGGTTTAAGGTTTAGGGTTTAGCGTTTAGGGTTTAGGGTTTAGGGTTTAGGGTTTAGGGTTCAGGGTTTAGGGTTAGGGTTTAGGGTTTGGGGTTTGGGGTTTGGGGTTTGAGGGTGTAGGGGCTCCCTGCAGTCCTTGGGCAAACTTGCAGGAGCCACCAGCTGCCGGCAGCGGGCCAGGACGTCCTGAAGAACAAAGGGCATCTACCCCTAAACCCTAAACCCTAAACCCTAAACCCTAAACCCTAAACCCTAAACCCTAAACTCTGAACCCGAAACCCTAAACCCTACACCCGTACACCCCTACCCTAAGCCCCTACACCCCTAAACCCCTACACCCTAAGCCCCTACAACCCTGAACCTCTAAACCCTGAGCCCTAAGCCTCTGAGCACCCTCAACCCTCAACCCTAAACCCTAAACCCTCAACCCTCAACCCTAAACCCTAAGCCCTAAGCCCTAAGCCCTAAGCCCTAAGCCCTAAGCCCTAAGCCCTAAGCCCTAAGCCCTAAGCCCTAAGCCCTAAGCCCTAAGCCCTTGGCCCAGGCCTTCGTGCATGCTGGGGTGTTCGGGTATGTGGCTCGGGTGCGGCTTTCGGGCGACATAAGCCTCATACGCACACCAAAGTGCGTCATGCAAACACTAGAAATTCCAGCCCTAACCCTTCAACCCTAAACCCTACACCCTAAACCCTAATCCCCAAACCCTAAGCCCTAAACCCTAAATCCTAAACCCTACACGGCAAGGGTCCGGAAGATGTGAGGGCGGGCTGCGCTGCAGGAAGTTCTGCAGCGCCACGCTCACCGACTCGTCCAAGGCCGCCATGGCAGCGACTTTGAGGGCGTTTAGGGTTTCGGGTTTAGGGTTTAGGGTTTAGGGTTCAGAGTTGTTTAGAGTTGCTTAGGGTGGCCTTCGGGGGCTTGGGGTTTGATACTACTTTGGACCCTCAACCCTAAACCCTAAACCCGAGATCAGGCGTTTACGGGCGAGTTTGGTTGTTTGCTGCGGCTGGGTGCACGTGATGCCCTTCGATGCGAGCGGCTGGGGAGCCCAACTTGTATGCTGTGGGCCGACGACCGACGAGAAACCCGCAGGAGTTTGGGGGTGACGGGGTGTTTAGGGTTTAGGGTCAAGGGTTTAGGGGTTTGGGTTTAGAGCTTAGGCCAGCGATTGATTGTGGTGGAGTCCGGCTTAAGGCTTAGGGCTTAGGGCTTAAGGTTTCGGGTGGTTTAGGGTTTAGGGTTTAGGGTTTTAGGGTTTAGGGTTTAGGGTTTAGGGTTTAGGGTTTAGGGTTTAGGGTTTAGGGCTTAGGGCTTAAGGCTTAGGGTTTTAGGGTTTAGGGTTTAGGGTTTAGGGTTTAGGGTTTCCGTTTGGGGTTTAGGGTTTAAGTGGAGCTTGGGGGGCCGCCTGGCCTTCCCAACATCTAGCCACGAGAAAGCAACCCACACCCAGAAATAGGCTCCTGCACACCGAAGATCCTAAGCTGGGATGCTCCCCCTTATGCTAACAGTCCTTAATGGGGAATACTAACAGTCCTCAATAGGGAATTTTAAGTCGATGATTAACAGTCCTTAGTAGGGGTTATAGTACCCCCAATTCTACGCAGAGTCCTTGATAGGGACTATAGTACCCCCTACTATAATCCCTGTTAAGGACTGTCAGTATAAGGGGGAACATCCCAAGACCAAACCCTCAACCCTGCGTCGGGCTTGGCTTGAGGGTATAAGGCTTTGGGGCTCGGGGGGTTTTGCAGGCTGAGGGTCTAAACACTGAAACCTCCCTAAACCCTAAAAACCCTATAGACTCCTATAAGCCCTATAAATCGTGGGGTCCCCTACTACCCCCCGCCTTCTAGGTTCCCCCCGCCTTCTAGGTTCCCCCCATAATTAAGGCCGTTTAGGGATAGTTAAGCCTACTTAAGGTTATTTAAGGGGGGGAACCTAGAAAAGGTAGGAAAAAAGGGGGTGGTACGGGAACCCATGAATAAACCATATAAGGCCTATAAATCCTATAAGCCCCATAAGCCCTACAAACCCTATGTACCCTATGAACCCTGTGAACCCTCTAATCCCTCTGAACCCTATAGGCTCTTTCTAACCCTGTAAACCCTATAAGCCCTATAAGCCCCTTTTAACCCTGAAAACCCTATAAAGCCTATAAACCCTATAAGCCCTCTACACCCTATAAGCCCTGAAGCCAATCCCAGGAACGCACTGCGAACTTCCCGGATGGCCTCAAATCCAG